GTCAGAATTTAAGTTCCACTTGCTTGAAGCGTACGTTCGTTATTTATTGGTGACTGTTTGCTGATAACAAGGTTCTTTATACAGAAGTGGCAAACAGAAAAACAAGGACGGTAAGTATTTTGATAATGATAAACAAACAAGAACTGTGATTTAGAAACATCTTCTGGAACATTTTAACAGTTTACAAGTCTTGTGTCAGATAACTGGGTGTTTGACGCACACACAGAAACTGGTCAAAGCAAGTTGTCTGATTACATTGAAAAATATTCAAAAAAGACATTTTAAATGATTACTCTTAAAAAATTCCCTATCAGGTTCCCACCAGTATCTCCTGCCTTACTGGTGGGTTGAGTAGTTTCCCTGAAGAAGTAGGCAACGGGCAACGAAGTGCCCCTTTTGTCCACAATAAATGCAGGCTTTGTTTACCATCCTTCTCTGCCTCACCTATGGTGTGAGGCGGGTATGACCAATCTGCATAGGCTCGACTTCGGTTTCTGTGACGAGAGGAGAAACAGTGTGAAAAATGGGTGTTGGGCGATAGCTGGAAGTGTGGGGTACTTGGGACTTGTAGCTTATTTCTCTCCTCCTCATGAAAACGATTGTCGATTCTGGTGGCAATACTGATCAGTTCATCCAAACTGTGGTTCTTCTCTGATAGCCACTGATCCTTAATGTTATCAGATAAGGAATTTAAAAAAGGTGCCTCAAAGGGCAGTCTCGTCCCATCCGGTCCGAGCAGCAGTGATGCGGTACTCCAGGGCATGTTTAGCCACAGAGTTTCTCCCTTGCCTGAGATTGAGGAGGCGCTTCACTGCTTCTGCCTTCTGAAGAGGATGATCAAACACAAGCTTGAACTCTTGTAAAAAACATGGAGAAGGTTATAGAGTTGAGGGAGTGAGAATCCATGTATGCGTGAGCCCAACGTAGAGCCTCCCCTTTTAATTGGCTGATAATATATGAAATAGTAGCTGCGTCAGAAGAATATAATGTAGGCGCATGGTTAAAAGCCAACTCACACTGGAGTAGAAAGCCACAACATAGATCGGAATTTCTACAAAAAAGCTTGGCACGTCTTAAACTCTGTTCGAACGACACTGAGGGCGCAGAAGGAGCTGCAGGTCTTGGCATTGTAGGCTCTGGAGGGCAAACTGGAGCAGAAGGGGTTAACAGAGACAACTTTTGGTTCATAGAAAACAACATGTTTCCTAATTCTTGTAAGTGAGACTGATTGGTGTCTTGTTGTGTGAGAATCTTCTCGAGGGCGGTTTCATGTTTATCAACGCGCTTCATCTGTGAGGTGAGCATGTGTTGAAGCTGTTCACCTTCAGTCAAGTTCTGGGTTGTGTTTGGCTGCTGCATTCTGTAAGGTTTCTAGCAACACCCAGATAAATAAATACTGACCAAATGATATTGGTGAGGTAACTATCCAGGGAGAGGCTGGAACCCTAGAGAGCAAGGAGCAAAGTTAAAGCAGGCCAGGAAATATCTCAAGGGCAGTATAATGTCCAGAGAAATAGTTCTTACTGTAGGAAAAGTAGGTCAGTCAGTGGATGTCCAAAAAGGTTTCCAGGAGATCCTGTGTAAGTGAGCAGGTGGTAGAAGGCAAGGAGCAGCTTGAGATGAGTCCAGGAAGGGTCGAGAGTAATTATCATGAGATCCAGGATGCAGGTGAAACACAGAGGTCAGAGCAAAGGCAGACAATGCAGCAGCGTAGAATGAAGTCCTCAGCTGGTACTTATACTTCTGCTGCTCGTTATTCCTCAATGGATCTCAGGTGTGTCTTTGTTGGAGCCCTCTGGTGGAGAAGAGCTGTGGAGCCAAAGTCTGTGTAGTGAACTAGGCCTCAGGTCAAATCTGGCCTTGAGGGGCCTTCCTGGAACAAGAACTGTATTTCATTGATTTGAGTCCAGAAACACAAAAGAACACTCTCTTTTCTATTATCATTACTATTTTACAAATGTTTGATAATCAAAGTGTGTTAGTTCAAACCATTTTTAAATGTTGAAGTGAACTACTCATTTTTAAATCAACTGTGAAACAGTAATAACGATTTTTAATCCTCATTCAAAGTGGAAATCAAGTTAGAATATGTTACAGAGTAATGATTCAATTTCTTGATCGTCTGTCTGAAATGAACAAGTTGTGTAAGTTGGTCAAAGTTCAAGTTTCGGTCAACTGCAAGTTTACTGAAAAAGAAATGTCATGTTTAACTTTTACAGGAAGATACTAGAGAATTGACTCCACGAAGTCTGAGTTCTTCATAATATCTTCTGTCTGTTCTTAAACAATCTAATCTTTTTCCTTGACTTTTTAATAACACCTTACATCACAAAAACACACCTCTGTTGGTCCATCGACCAATCAGAAAGTCCTCAAATGAACCGGAAGTGACCCTTTTTAAAAGGTGCACCACTTCCTAGTTTAGCAGTTCCAGAGTTCAGAAGGCTGGAATTCAGGATGCTGGAGGAAGGAAAATAAGCTGAACGAGAGAAGATCAGGGAATTATGAAATGTCTGTTCTGGATGATCTCACGACTCCTGAGGTTTAGCTGTTCTTACGGAGACGCTGGAAGAGTTGAAAGGAAAGCTCTACACCAACGCTGAAACTATCATCTGCAAAGGTAAAGAGTCGATCTCAACCAAAGTGTACCGTTGGGTTAAGCTGCTCTAGAAGGAGCGTGTCGTTCTGGTTAAAACAGACAAATTCCCTCACCCATCTCTCTCAACTTAAACTTCATTTCCATCTTTAAAACCCTTCTATCTGCTAGAAATCATTCCAGATATTTTTAGAAGTGTCTGTTGTACAGCTGGAAGCAAGGGAAACAATCGCTGTATTGTTTCCTCCTTGTAAAACTAGCCTAAATAAGCTGTTGTTATTTTCAATTTTTGCCAATTAATGTAAATGTGTGATGTGTTAAACTTGATTCTGTTAATAAATGACCCACTGTCGTTGGTGAGTCAAAGATAAACACGTTTCCGTCCACATTTAATTAAATTCAATGCACGTCATTATTCAGTCCAGAAAAATGAAAGAATCCGTTTAAGTTATGAATATATATTAGAATATGTTCATCTACATCTGGAATTCCCACACCATTTAATTCAAACATTAATTTTTTTGTATTTTCCCTGTTTAAAACTCATATCTGCTATCTCTCCTAATGATATCAATTACAGTAAATAAGATGCAGTCCATAAATTCACCTGAAAAACAATAATCTCTGGAATTAAATTCCCCTAATTAGTTTTTAGTATTTAGTTACTAGAGCCTTCTTCTTCCACCTGCGTAATATCACTAATATTAGAAACATCTTATCTAAAAATGATGCAGAAAAACTGGTTCATGTATTTGTCATGTCGACTGGACTATTGCAATGGTTTATTATCTGGTTGTCCAAATACTTCTTTAAAACGTCTTCAGTTGATCCAAAATGCTGCTGCCAGAGTCTTAACTGGAGCTAGTAGGAGAGATCATATCTCTCCAGTTTTAGCTTCTCTCCATTGGCTCCCTGTCAAATCCAGAATAGAATTAAAAATCTTACTTCTAACCTACAAAGCTCTCAACAACCTAGCTCAATTTTATATTCGAGATCTTATTGTTCCATATTTTCCTAACAGAGCACTTCGCTCTCAGACTGCCAGGTAACTTGGGGTTCCTATAGTTTCCAAAAGCATAATGGGAGCAAGATCTTTCAGTTATCAGGCTCCTCTCTTGTTTAACCAACTTCCAGTTTCTGTCCGTGAGGATGACACATTATCCAGTTTTTAGCTCTCCTTTTTGATAAATCCTATAGTTAGGGTTGGCTTGTTACACTGCCGTAAGCTTAGACTACTAGAGAACAAATTGACCTCATTTCCTTAAATGAATTGTTAAAATTTAATAGTTTTCATTTGATACTTTTTCCATCTTAACGTGATTCTTGACCTGCTATTGTGTATCTGTTCCTATCAAACCCATCCGGTTGAAGCAGATGACCACTTGTCCTGAGCCTGGTTCTGATAAAGGTTTCTTCCTCATGAGGGAGTTTTTCCTTTCCACTGTCGCATTCATGCTTGTTCAAGATGAGAGTTCTGCGATGGAGTTAAACTCAAAGCAGTCTGCTCCTCAGATAAATAATGTTAAATTAATATTTTATATATGAATGTTTCTGTTCAGTGCCTTGAGATAACTTCTGTTGTGACGGTGCTATATAAATAAACTGAACTGGATTGAAATAGAATTTTTATTGGCCCGTCGAAGGTCGTATGGTCCCAGTCTGTCCGTCCGTCAGTACCTATGTCTGTTAACTTTCTCTTGTCCAGCCAATAACTTTTGATTCACTCAAGATCATTTACCAAAACTTCATGCACATATGCATCATCACTAAACATGAATTCCACTTTTCATCACCCCTGCTTTAGGTCAAGGTCAAAGGTCATTCAAGGTCAAAATAAGTTGATGTTTGGGTTATTGCTATAGATTGCTGTATAATAGTTTGTTGATGGGCGTATAGTGTGCCTGTAGTGGTTCTTAAAATAAGTTTTAATTGGGGTAAAACCCTCTGCCTTTCCCCTTGTTATTGCAGTATGCTGTCATTTTTGCAGTTAACTGGAAAACTGTCACCTTTTTACATCCTTGTTTTGTAATCTGGTAAAAGTAGGTTTATGTGATTTCTTGGCTCTCTCTTTCTGTTGCTGATAAACACTGCAGCCTTTCTGAAAGCCAGAGATGATGTTTCACCTCCTCCACTTCATCTCAGAACTGATATGTTAAATGTGTGTGCTCTTCAGACTAAAAATGTTTGTGTGAAGTGTTTGATATGTAAATGTGATGCTAATAGGGCATACCAATCAGCCCTCAGCCACCTGGTGAAGGAGGTGGAGATTATCCATGAGTCATGTCACCTCAGCCTCCGAGCCTGTTGAGTCTGTGTTGAGCTTTGACACAAGCCCCCCTCGGATTTGGGTTGTGAAACAGGCGGGATGCCTGCAGCTTTCATTTGTCTTTTGTCTTTTATTTAGCTGAGGATTCTGTTTCCTGTGAGAACCCTGGTCTCCCTGATAATGGCTACCAGATCCTGTCCAAGAGGCTGTACCTGCCCGGCGAGTCGCTCACGTTTGTTTGTTACCAGGGCTATGAGCTCATTGGAGAGGTTGCCATTAAATGCATCCTTGGAAACCCGTCGTTCTGGAGCGGCCCGCTCCCGCTCTGCAGAGGTGAGGTCTTTCAGCGGCATTTGGTGTTTTTGATATCATTGTGTAAAAATGTTAAGATCCTTAGATATTGACACTCTTTTGCACTTTATTTTCTTATTTAAATTATTCTGCTTTATCATCATGAGCTTTGAAACATTTAATAAACATGCCAGCATTGTTTCAGGCATTAAGACTTGCAGGAATTCATTCTTCTCTCAGTGTTTGTCCTCTACTTATTGCAGGCCTGATTATTATACTGTAGCACAACACATGTCTACACAACACCAAACATTAAAAGCATGGAACGCATCTTAACAAGCACCAATCTCAGCTTCACCGTCATGTTTTAGGATGATTCCTGCATGTTTTTGCTTTAACAATGAGTACATTAACCATAAGCAGTTGGTGTACAGTAGTCCCTTGCTACTTCAAGGTTCGTTTTTTGCAGAACCGCTATATCGCGGTATTTCAAAGTAAGATTGGACATGACACAATTGGCTGATTGATGGATGAGCCATGGATTGTTCATTTAAAATAAATTATTTTAAATGATTTTGCACCATGTGTGAAGCCCACAAGTACAGGGGGAAGCTCCCTCCTACAGCTGATCAGCTGATCTCCTTCTCTGCCACGCCCACACATTTTTCCTGCAGCAGCTTTGTGAAGAGTTAACCCTTTGCTGTCCAGATGCACCGATCAACGTTTGTCTTCCAACTTAAAACTCAAAGTATGTCAAATTGTAAATTCATCATAATCACAAAATATAAAAGTGTTAAAAGCTATTTTTAATTATTTTATAACTTCTATGTTCAGTTGTTGAACTGTAAATGATCAAGAAGTACATTTCTGCTCCATGCTGCAGAGCTGAAGCTGTGACATCCCTTTGATGTGCTGCTGCACTTCTCTTCTCTACAATTTAAATTTAAATACTATAACATTTTAAATAAACCAATTATTTATTTAAAATGTTACAGTATTTAAATTGCTTATTTAAGGAGGGAGATTGGGAGTAACGGGTGACGAGTGAGTGTGATTACAGCCTGGCTCATGTCATGACAAAGTTTACTGAACTTGAACTGAACTTGAAATTGGACTACTGGTTTTTCACTTATCATTCGTGCGTGCGTGTGTGTGTGTGTGTGTGTGTGTGTGTGCGTGTGCGTGTGTGTGTGTGTGTGTGTGTGAACCAGCCACCCCTATAATTTGAGGAGACTATATTTTCTAGTTTTTGTATTGCTTAAGTCTTTTTTTCTCAAATGATTGACCCTTGGCTCCACCATTTTGCTCCTGGTGGTGGATACATTTGCTTCCTTCAGTCACGAGGATCCGATCTGTCTGGGCTACCTCAGATAAAACAAAAAAAACTTTCTCTCTTATCTAATGCACAATGTAATAATAAATAATAATAAAGTTCTATGTGTTGTCATCATTGCATGTTCCCATACAATGTCAAAATTAGTTCTCTACATTTAACCCATCACACCTGAGATACACCAGGTGGAGCAGTGGGCAGCTGTGTAAGCACCCGGGAAGCAAGTCTTGCTCAGAGACACTACAACATGTGGGAATGGCTAGGGATCGAACCTGAGACTTTCAGGTCCCAAGTTGGCTTCCCGACCTCTACCCCATGTAACACCTACCCACTTGAAATTCATGCACCAGAAACTTTTTTTTTTCATTCTTGTTCAATTCCACGTCAGAAAAATACTCATGTCAAAAACTACAAACCTTCACTATTTAAATCCCTCAGCAATTGGAGATTGGCGCACACCTTGTTCTGTTTATTCTCAACATGTGCTCTTTGTCATTGCTAATTGAACACACAATACCTACATCTATTTTAGATTACCCTTTGTCTCTGTTGGCCTGATGCTTGGAGTCTCTGTTTGTCTTCATTCCAGAAAAGTAACTCTGCAGTAAAGTCTCAGTTGTTCATCTTCCAATCAAACTTTTACAATTAGGTAACATAAAACAGATTATTGTGCTCAGAATGAAAACGCATATTTTATATTGTATATTGCTTTGTGTGTTACCTGTTGTTCTGTCTGTACAGCACTTTGGTTGGCCTTGTCGCTGTTTTAAGTGCTCTATAAATAAAATTGTATGGTATGGTATTTTCATAGATTTTTATTTATTTATTTTAGTTTATTTGCAGTTTACTTCTAAGCTTTAAATCCTCAGTGCCTTATGCAAAGGTTTTTTGACATTTTTGTAAAAAAAAAAAAAAAAAAAAAGAACGAGTGAAAACCAAGTTTTTGCAACAAAAAAAAAAAAAACAACAACCACACACACATATGTACCATACTTTACCACTCACAAATATGTAACATTGGATACAACAAAGTCCATGCTCAATAATCCAGGTATACAATCCAACATTTTCCAGCCAGGTCATCTGGACATTTTCTTTTTTTTGTGCTGAAACGTTTCGCCTTCTATCCGGAAGGCTTCATCAGTCAAGGAAACACACAACAAAACAGATTCTTCCCCCAACAGCTTACTCCAAAGTGTAACAAACCAGTTCTGCTTGTGATAAGATGGTCTCTTTGTCACACCCCCTCCTCCATTGCCAGCTCTCTTCCTTGTTGACAGTCATGTCAAACTGGTTGAAAACAACAAAGTCCATGCTCTATAATCCAGGTATAAAATCCAACATTTTTCAGTCAGGTCATCTGGACAGTTTCTTTTTTTTTTGTGATGAAACATTTCGCCTTCGATCCGGAAGGCTTCATCAGTCAAGGAAACGCACAACACAAAACTGATTCTTCCTCCAACAGCTTACTCCAAAGTGGAACAAACCAGTTATGTTGGTGCTAAGATGGTCTCTTTGTCACACCCCGTCCTCCATTGCCAGCCCTCTTCCTTGTTGACAGTCATGTCAAACTGGTTGAAAACAACAAAGTCCATGCTCAATAATTTCGAAGGCAAAACGTTTCAGCAAAAAAACAAAAAAGTAACTGTCCAGATGACCTGACTAAAAAATGTTGGATTGTATACCTGGATTATTGAGCATGGACTTTGTTGTTTTCAACCAGTTTGACAAGACTGTCAACAAGGAAGAGGGC